TCTAGAATCTTTCTAATACCCCTCATTCTCCTCGTGCCTCCTCATTTATAAATCTCGCCCTCCCGCCTCCCTCTTTCTTCCCCATCTTCAAACTCAACCTCTTTTGTCCTCCGTAGCAGAGATGTCGAGAGCCACCGTGGAGCTTGATTTCTTCGGTATGGAAAAGGAGAACTCCTCCAAGTCTCCCTCCCAGCAATTCCTTCAACGCCGGCGAAGCTTTTGCGGTCTGTTCCGTTCTAGAAGCGAATTCGTTTGCGGAAATCTTGATTTTCTGAATAATTTCTAACATTTTCCTGTTTTCTGCAGATATTCAGAGTGCCATTTCGAAGATCAATCCGGAGCTCGTCAAGTCTGTGATTGCCTCTGGTTCTGCCAACCGGATCGACCCAAAAACTTCATTTTCGGTGCCTTGTACTCCTACAGATCTGGTGCCGAGCTTCTTCCCGGCTTTACCTGTTCTCAATCCAGTTTCCAGGTACCGAATCGTTCACCGCGATTCTTCCTTTTTCTGATTTTTCCTCTTATTTTGTTTAGTTAAGGTGAAATTGTTTGTTTTCTCATCTTCAGAACTGCATCCGAGATCCCTCCTGCTCCTGAAACCACTCCGTTGACGATTTTCTATAACGGAACGGTATCCATCTTCAACATCCCTCGGGATAAGGTTAGTTTAAAAGTTTTTTCTCTATTTTTTTTTAACTGTAAATTTTTTCCTTAAAATTCGAATATCATTATTGAGTCGGAAATTTTAATTTTGTAAAGGCGGAGGGTATTCTGAAACTTGCGGTTGAAGGATCCTCCAAAAGGGTTGAATCGACAGATTCGGAGGTTACGGTTCCGTCAAGCGATCAACAACAGCTGCTTGAATCCCTTAATGGAGGTAAGATGCTGTTTATTTTCTGGTTTCATTTCTTTATCACTTTCATGAAAAATGAAATTGAAGAAAACTACAAATAAGATTTATTGGGAAGATTTTTCCCATAAACAAATTTTTTGGCTTGAATTCTGCCAGTCTGGTCTTACCATTTTCTGTATATTCACAAGACTTTTCTAAAATCTTAATTTGGATTTTTTTTTTGCAGATTTACCACTTGCTCGGAGGAAGTCATTGCACAGATTTCTGGAGAAACGCAAAGAGAGGTATTTTTCTCCACTTTTTGTTTAGCCAAGACTGTTAACCTTAATTAGATCTGAATAACTTTAATGAGGAGAAGGATTAGATAAACAAAAAGAAAGTGATAAAAATTGAATGGCATGCATAATTTATCTCTGGAGACGTAAAAATTTCAATTATAATTAATTGAAGATTTAGGAAGGAGACTAGTATTTGTTGGTCATGACAACTCCCTCCTTGGATGTTAGTCTTTTGATAAAAAAAATTAAGCACCTCACAAAAGGATAGTGACACCTTTGTCTACCTAGTTAAGGATCTAAAACGATGTCGTTCTGGTTATGGGTTATATAAGATGTTAGGGTTAAAACTCTTTCATCAATACACCTAAACTTGGGGGGGGGGGGGAGATGTCAAGGGTGAAAACCTTTTTTGGACCGTTTTGTTACTTTGGAGAAATTCCAGAAACAACTAACAAGCGTTTTAGGTTTTGAATAAATGTTAAAAAATCGCTTTTATCTATGAAATAAAATTTATGTATTGAACATTAGGGAATCTGAAATGCTTTTATTTATGAAAATCAGGATATGATGGATCTGCATATTATCGAACAAAGCAAATGGTAATTGCTTGCACATTATGTCTTTTAATTTAATCACGTGTAAAATGCAAGATGATGGTTTCACCAAACTAGTTAGGTCTCTGCTCCTTAACGCACCTAGAAGGAGCAGTCGTTTCCTTTGAAATGATTACCCTCCTCGGTGCAGTTGTTTGGTTCGAAACAATTGACAGAAAGCTTAGAAAGCACACGATTTTGACTGAAATGGCACTTTGGCACGGCCAACTATGTGAAAAATCTAAGGACACAGATTTTTTAAATTTACCCAAATGGTTCTCGTGAACTTATTTATTGAAATGAGCTTCTTGTTTTTTTTTCCTCCTGAACAAGCGGCAATTACAAGGGAAAAAAGGATAGAATTTTGAATGCCATATGTGGCAGTTGAACTTTCAACTTAAGAATCCCAAGTACTTAAATTTGGGTTTTTTTTCTTTTTCTTTTTTTTTTTTTTTCTATATTTATGGATCCTAATCTTGGGTTGGTGAACCACTGGACCGGTCAAGGCGGGTCAGTTCTGGAAACGAGCTTACATAATGTGCGGATATAAATTTTCCCAACAGACATTTAAGTCTTTACAAAGAACATTTAATTTATCGTCGAAAATATATTTGTTCGTCGTTCTTGTCTAGAAAGAGCTACTGTGATTGATATTTTATTGAGTAATACGCGTTTTTGCCATGTTACAGATTGACTTCAGTGATGCCGTACGCATGTTTCACCTAAAGACGCGTTTCTCAGGACAAGAAAACTGCTAGTTTCTAGCTTAGAAAAGGGTAATAATAGTCTATAGAAATGTTTTTTAATTCTATTTTCTCATGTTTATGGATGTAAACAACAAGTTATAATATATATATATATATGGAGAGAGTTACGAATAGAAATGACTCAGTAGATACCTCCATTGGCTTTTTAAGTGAGGGTGTTTTGGCATTTATTCAATGCCGGTTTCGCCTCACTTTCCTTACTTTATTGTGCGGATTTGAAGCTATTATGGATCAGATCACATGTATGCTAGCTGACGCTTTGTTTTGGAAGATACCTTGTGACTTCCTTTTTTTAATTTTAATGGAATTTATTATTAGCACGTGTTTTTTTTATTTTGTTTTAAAATTACGGGTAGATAGTTGGTATGGAACGTGAATGCACCTTTTTCTTTTTGGTAAGTGGACAAGAACGCGTTTGGTAGAATATCATTATCTAATTGCATTAATGATAAATACAAGTCCGCTGTTTATTATTCGAATTGTTTTACATCATAAAATATATATTTTTTATTTTATAATTTAAAATAATTTAAATTATAAAATAAATCATTTGAAAAAAGAGGATTCTAATATTAAGGGAGTCTAATTTTATTTAATAATTAATATAATATAATTTAATAAAATATATTATAATTTGATAAAATATATATATAATTTTATTTATACATAAATTTTATATATTATATTTATATAAAATTTTAATAATTATTGTTACTTCTAATAATTAAAATTTATTTATATTTATTAATACACACAACGAAAATGCACTTAGAACTTATAGATTTCTTTCGCATACCTTTTACTCGTTCAAGTGATTATGCTAAGCGAACAAAGTCTTTATTTTATTATTAATGGGGCAAAGGGAAAAATGTTTCACAACGTATAATATTTAAATTATAAATAATAAGTATCAATTTGAATCAATGGATCCTTTGGTAAGGGCTTCATTTTCTCTCTTATTTGAGGGAGGCGTCGCTTTTCCTTTTCTTCCTTTTGTTTTCGTGCACGGGTTTGGATCTGGACCGATGGCTTCTATTGAGGCTAGGAGGACTAGACAACACTCGGATGAGGTGGAGGATCTGGTGGCCGTGATGGGGATTTCTCTCCGACTCTCTGCAACAGAGGGTGAAGTCCTGGAGCAGGCTAATTTGACAGATTTGATCGACTGTAGTGAGGGGCTGCATTTCTGGGATGTGGCTGGATTTGTGATGTCAACCAAGTTTTTGCCTTGGGTTCTGGGTGGATAGTGGGTAAATACTAAATAGCTAAGACTCGCACGCCCTGGAAGCGACTTGCTTGTGCACAGCAAAAAAACCTCTAAATTACGATGTCATTTTTTAGTGCAACAATAAAGAATGGTAAATATTATTTTAATATAATTTTTATTTGAATTGATACACCAAGGGTGTCGCAAAAGATTTTATTATTTTATTATTATTTTATTATTATTATTTTTGTAACTGTAGGAAAGGGACGTTAAGCAGCGAGAATTCCCTGAAGAGAAAAATCGGTAGGCACAAGGGAGGTGATGAGGAGCTTTTCTCTATTGCTGAGGTGCAGGACAGAAGGAGCAAAAATACTGATCTTTTGATTTGTAGAACTCCAGAGGAGGCGTTGAAAATGGAGGGGATTCCCCTCTGGTTTAGCTTTTCCTTTATTTTTATTTTGTATTGATCTTTCGGTGATAATTATATTAAATTTTAATTAATTTAAAATCAAATCGTATTAAATCTTATTAAAAAAAATTCTCGTAACATTTTTTTTATTTATAAAATTTAAATTTAAAATCTTATATAAAAAAAATCAAATTTTTTTCATTCAAATCGAATAATTCTTTGATTAGCTTTTCTTTTATATTTTGTTTGATGTTAAAGTAGTTCGAGGTATTTAATTAACTTGAATTAGTCATTAGGTTGACCATAAACAATAGATATCAATTAACAAAGAATTTTTTTATCAATTGTAAATTGTTTAAACCAATCAAACTAAACAACCTCAATTATTGTCTTCAAAAACAATTTCTTCCCTAATGGAATTAAGGAAATATTGCACTAGATTCGTCATTCGCGTGCTTGTCTTAAGTAACTATTACTATCTGTTGTTTTATTCGTTTTAAAATAATTACTGTTTTTTAATTTTAAATTTATTTTAAATTAATTTTTTTAAAGTGTATAAATATTTTGTTATTACTTTAACCCCATTAATAATTATTTATTTTAATTAATTGCAAAAAATATATTTATTGAACTCTTAATTTATGTTTTAAAAATACAAATTAAATAAATTTTTTATTTTAATTAAATAATTAATTAAGTAAA